GATAGAGAGTGTGTTACAAAGTTAAAGAGATATCGTTGAAAGTTGTTCACAAGTTTTATCCAGTTCAATTAGTGCTCTCTAAATCGCTCTAAAGCCTGAGCAGGGTGAGCTGTGTTTTTTGTCGAGCTGAAGGGGAGTCTTTGGTGCAGTTATTTGTGAGGTGTCGGTTTGCGGAGGTGTGTTGGCAGGCAGTTAAAGGTGTTTTTTAGCTTGAAGGATTTTGATATTTTATTGTAGTGTTTAATAGAACATTTGGAAAAAGAGTATTTCTTTATAGTCAATTCATTAGTCATTCTGGGTAAATTTCACATCCATAAATCAAAAGGGTCTAATAATCCTCCCCTTTGTGGGTCTTTTTCAGCTCCACCTCAACTATTTAAATTCTATTAAAAAAATGACAATAAAGTAAGGAAAACGGATGATATATGTAAAAAAAAAATACAATTTAATCACATAATTTACTTCATTACCTCTGGCGGTTAAAGGTTTTTTTTTCCCTGTTCGTGTTTTTTCCTCTTGTACCTGTTTTTGAGCCTCGGGTTGTAGTTGTATTTGTAAATTCTTTATACGTTTAAATAAAAATAAAAAATTAAAACCCGTGCGAGGCCGACATCCTGCGGGCGTGTCTCCACCTAGCGGCCGGACAGCAATATAACACGCAGGCTTAGCCTCCCCCCCTCTAGCGGTGGCGCTGCGGTACTGCACGGCAGCGCTGCAGACGAGCCCGCAGTTCATTCCGTGTTTTGATGTCGGTAGCAAAGGTGGGATGTGGTCCTTCTTCGCCCGGGATCCAGTTAAAGATTTTCAGTACGAAATCTTACCGGACACCCAGGAGCCGTCCGGAATATGGACTCTGCACCGGGGGAAACGGAAGGTAAGGCCCGGGTTTGATCTGAAACGGTGAACGGAGAGGCGGCGGCGGGGGATCGAGGCCTAGGATTTGCCGACGCCCCGGGCTCGAGTAGCGGCTGCGGCCGAGTTGGCGGTGCGGGGAGGACGGGGGGGGCTTGTATGGTTGTGGGGGGAAATTTTGCAGGTAGGTTTAGGGAGACGGGGCAAAAAAACAAAAAGGGGGGGCCAAAATGCCTATTCGCACGAACTGTCAATGACTTTTAAAAATAATCACCTGAATGTCCGCCTTTGTCCGCTCCCCTATCCGGTATAAACACGTCTGTTGTCGCCACGTCGCTGGGTGTAGAGGACTTGAGTGAGACGCTTGTTTAAACTCTCATCTCCCTTGACGTGTTAATTGGCAAAATCCTGTGTCGTGTGGGGGGGGGGGGAGACCTGAGCCTTTTATATAGGCAGGGGAAGCACAGCTGGACTGGCGTGCTGTTAATTTCTCTCCAGGCAGGACGGACCCCCCCTCCGCATCACCCACCCCCACCCCGGTCCAGCGGTTTCCCCCCTCGTTTATTTCAAGTGCTGGGGTCCCGCTGGACCTTGACCGGCGTTGAATCCCATTGAGTGCGGAGCTGTCGCTGCAGATGTGGAGGGCAGAATTCTTTTTTTTTTCCTCCTCCTGAGGGTGACTTGCCAACACCACGCTTTCTGAAGCGCAGCCTGTTCCCCCTGGGCCCGATAGCAGCCGGTGTTTAGATCATCGTTCCCGGAAAGTCCGTTTAGCGGCGGGCCTTGTGTACAGAGGTTGG